CTCCGCAAAACTGACCTTCCTAGCCTCAGAGATATTATACCACTTAAAGAAACTGTCCATACCTTTGGCCAAGTCCAGGAAGAGTTGAGGATCGAGAGTGCCATCAAAGGTAGGAGCGTTAACTTTAATATTTTTCATGAGCGGTATTTCAGGATCATTACGTGGGTCATGTCCATGGTAAGGAGCTCAATGATTGACATAATGTTGCCTCTCATCCGGGTAAGTGTCATCCCCATACATAGAAGGTGGTCTAGATGGGGTGTAGGGAGTAGGATGCTCTCTAGCTCGCTCAAGTGTGTCAAATCACTCAGTGGTGTTTCTACGAAGCTCAGCTAGGTCGTCTTGGTTCTCTTTGAGTTGCTGACTAATATTGTTCATTTGGCCTACCAACAAGTCTAAAGTCTTTCCTAGTTGTTCCGGGTCTATGGTTAGACACTAGGGGACACTTGGGGGTGAAACTAAGTAGTGGACAGCACCTAAATGCAAGGGTAGACTCTCTAGAATGTCACTAAATAATGCAGGAAATGTTTGTACAGCAACTACAACAAAGTGCAAAGTGTCTCTAGGAAACTAGGGAAGTTGTTATAAAGAGGGCAGCACCAAATTACCTAAGAAACAAGCCTTAATGCTCACTAAATGAGTGCAGAATTTTCTGAACAACAAACATAAACGATGATTAAAATGTTTTAAAAGATGTTATGCATGCGGAATTAACTAAGCATGATTACAAAAAGCCTTAGGATGATTTCTAGCATGAAAATCCTAAGCTAATCATGCTCTGATACCAGATGATGTAGAACTACAATGCATGCAAGGGTTTTATTAAGATCTTGCACAACTTATTGATTGGAGAAATAACAAAGAGAAATATTAGCAAATAAAACGATGAATCAAAACATAAGAGCAGTCACTTTTGTTTAGGCTAAGTTGCATATCAAGTGATTTGAATCATCAAAATGTCATAGGAAAAATGATATCATGCAAAGTAGTAGCTTTCAACGAGAATCCCTAGTCTAACAATAAGATTAGAAAACAAATAAATGCACTAAAATCCCTACGTTTACTAAGCTTAGCAGAATCGAACAAACGCTACATTCATGACTACAATCAAATCACAATAGAGGATTAGACTTAACAAAAACGAAAGAAGGAAAATTAGAAAACCTTCGTCAAGGATCGGTTGCAATCCTCCACTTGAAGATCTCAAGTTGTTCTTCAATAGCTTCAACCAAGGTGCCCAAGATGCATTCTATGTAGTCCTCAACCGTATGGTCGATCCTCGGGTTGACGTCGAAGAAGGTTGAATGGAGAATATGCACGAAGCCATGTTCGTCGTAGGCAAGTCCATAGTCAGCGTCGGGATCAGCCATTCATGAATGCTAGATGATGATTTCTTCCAAAGATTGCTAATAAACTTGAACTCCGTTGAAGAGAAGAAGTTTCTCTTCAACTTGAAGTGGGGGGTGACAAGGTATGACCGGCTAAGGGATGGAGGCTTAGGGAGAAATTAGGTTCATATTTTGTGGAGGAAGAAGTGCCAATCAATCCTCTAATTAATCCTCATGCATAAAATTAATTAAGGGGAGATGGAGAGAGGTAGGGGCGGCGGCATGAGAGGGAAATGGGGGGGGGGGATTTGTTTCCAAATCTCAATGCTTGCTTTAGGAAAGAAGATAAGGAGGTGTGGGGCTTGGGGGAAGGGATAAACCGTGGGTATGATGTTGGCCAGTGGTGGTGGAAGGGAAAGGAAGAGATACGTAATAGAACCACGAACCCGACTCGTCTAGGTTGGTGGGTGATGCGCAATTCTCCCTCTCCTAGGGATCTCTCTCCGATTTCTCAAGCTCTCTCGAGAACTCATGCAAGGGGAAGAAAATATTTTAATCAATCATTCATTAACTTGCAAAGAAGAACAAGGGGGCAATAATTAGCCTTTTACAATGACTCAAACATAAAGGACAACAATGCCCCTAATGCTTACATACGACATCACTTAATAAAAGGGTACAACGGGAAACTAAATAAAGCAAATACAATATGACATCATAAATAAGAAAATACATAAAACAAATAAAAAATATAATGGCTCAATCGTGACTGTAGATCGGCGGCCACGTCTCTGATAAACCTTCCATGTTTTGATGTCCCCATCATATGAACTTACAAAAAAGGTTGTGGAGAAAAGAAGATGATGAAGTAGAGCGGTTTTCAAATGCTATCTCTAGACCCATATTTATAGGCATTTACTAAAATTGACATGAACATCCTGTCATATATGCATCATAGTTCATCAAGACAGTAAATTTATTGAAATTTTTGTATTATCATTATAAAGATATATTTTTTATTTACTCATTCTTTTTGCTAGTCACTTTCCAAATATATAAGAGAACCAGAGAATTAAATGTATACTCAAATATTTTATGGTCTCAACTAGATCTGAATTAGGTCAAGATTTTAGGTTCGACATGAACTTGCTAGGTTTAACACTTATTTGCAAGGTCTATGCATTCACAAGTATATAACATGAACTCGTTAGAATTACAATGAAGTCACCAACCTACTGGCCCCAAAAGTTGATTAAACATGCTCGTTCAGAGCCATCTACATGATTACTCGTTGGATCTCAGCCATCACATGCAAAGCCGGCTAATAACTTAATATGAGTCTACCCTTTATTTGGAAATTCTTAATATCTATTGAATATAATTGGGAGGGATAGAGCTTCTTTATTTTATGGAAGGTCTTTATTATGCCATATGTTATAGTTTATATATTTAACTTTCATGTGATTTTTCTATACAACCTTATCTCTACTTCCACCTATCTATAAGTTGGGGATTAGAGGGAAAGCCTAGGGACACAACGAGTTGACTTGAGCTCTCTATTTTCAAGTAATAAAAAAAACCACATAGCTTCTCTCCCATCATCCTCTCTCTCTCTCTCTCTCTCTCATAGTTAATCTTGTGAGTAACTTCCTGATATCGCTCACGCAAAAAATTGAATTCAACAATAACCTTTTCATAGCTTAAAATAAGGTTTTTAACTGATTATGTAATCTTTTCTTTAGATGTATTTTCCATGCATAAAAATGAGTATTCCTAGGTGTACACTAGTTTTTGATGAGGACATCATGTCTTAGAGAGTCTACCAGAGGCGGGCCGACGATCTACGGTCACGATCGCACCGATCTACTTTTGATTATTATTGTATTAGTTTTATTATTGAATTATGTTTCATGAGTTTATTGTATTTTTTTCATTTATGCCCTCGTTTAAGGGCCTAGTCCTATGTATGCCCTAAGGGAAATAGAGTCTTTTGTATTTTCTTTGTTGTTTTGGGCTATTTAAAACCTTCCCTTTGAGGGTAATGGATATTATGATGAAAATTTTTGCATCCATGTGTTTGGAGAGAGCGTAAGAGTTATTGGAGAGATTGAAGTCCCTAGGTGAGGGCATCGTAATACCCACCAATCACAGGAAGTGTCCGGGTTTGTGGTCGTCGTCACTCCCCTTCCTCCCTCCCTTTCCCTCCCCACCGTCGGCCAAAGCCCATCCTCCCCCTCTTGGCCGAACCCCCCCACTGCCCCTCTCCTAGTCGCCGGCCACCCATAACCCCACCACCTCTCCCGGCCAAACCCTACCTCCACTACAACCCAACTGGCCACCCTTCTCCCAACCCCTAACCGCCGGCCCATATTAAAACCCTAACTTAGCATAGCTGCCGGCCATATCTCTTACCCCCTTGCCTCCAAAATTCAAAACCTCCCATTACTGTTTTCCTTTCTCCACCCAACCTCATTTGAAAAGGTTTGATTTCAATTATTCAATCAATTTTGAATTTTGAAAATTTTCCTAAAATAGAATTCTATTTTAGAAAAGTTCCCAAAATTAATCCTATTTGATTTTTAAATTAAATTGGAATTAAATTAATCATTCCTAATTTAATATTCTAAATCAAGTAAGTCTTGATTTTTTTCCGACAAGCCCCCTTCCCCCCCTCTTGAAGCCGCCAGCCCCCTCTCCCCATATCTCTCTCTCCCCACATTAACTCCCCTCATCAGCACCTAAATCAAGTTTCTCAATTAGGAATAATTTTCCTTTCCCTCTTCTCGCTTGAATTCAAATTTCAAACCCTAATCCCCCTTCTATTCAAATTTGATATTCAATTTTAGATTTTTGGAAGAGGCTTTTCCCTCCTATTATTGGCCGACCATCCACCTCTCTCCACCGTTGTCTTTGACTTGATGCTTCTCCTAAGGAAGAGAGAAGAGATCACACCACTTTCCCTCCCACACCTTACAAACTTCTCTACTCATGCATGGCGGATTCGGAACGTGACCACGGATTCATTTACAACGATCAAGGCCACGTCGACATCCTCAACTCCCCTTTCTTTGACCTCAACCTTGAGGTTGACCAAACCGTGGAGGATTACATGGAGAGGATCATCTTCACCATTGCTGAATCTATTGAGGAGCAACTCTCTTTCATCCTATGGCAGATTGTCTCCAAATCCTAAGCAAGGTGAATCATTCCCCTAATCTTTTCCTACCTGACCCTTGCCCCCACTTGTGGTTTTAATTGATTCACTACGATCATGTTAAATTTCTCTGCTAAGCCTAGTAAATTAGAAGTGAGTGAAGGACTTTTCATAGTGAATAATCTCATTGTTAGCATAGGGATTTCTTGTTGGAAATCTTTCATGTATGTTATGTTTTGAATTATTGATTATTTTGAGATCCTAACCCTAATCGTGTGACTTGGCCTAAGTTTGTCTCATCCCTTTCTTATTTCATCTTTTAATCACTACAAATATTTTAGTTAGTAAAGCTCTCTAAATTAAATTGTGCAAGATTCTTTTCTAACATTGCTTAAGCATTTTAGTCCTACATCAGTTTTGTTTATCATCTCTGGACCTTGGCTGACATGACATACTAATATAATGAGGTATTTGCATATTATAGAAATTGAAAAGTTCATGATGTCTTTCTCAAACAGGTGAACAATCCTTTTGAAGAAAATCAAGTTGTGGGAATCACCAACTACATCGACTTTGGTTTTGAGTTAACAACAAGGTATGGTAAATGTTTAAGGAATATTCTTCTCTACTATTTGTCTTTGCTCTTTCTCTTTTCATTCTTCATCCTTTCATTATTTCAATGTTAGGATTAATGGAGAAAAATCAGCTAGTACCGTAGATGATTCATCATTTCAAATAGCTGCATCTTGGCAAGCCAATAAGAATTTGTTGTTGAAGGTCAAATTTATGAATTTTTTTTGCTCGAACAGTTATCTGCGTTTATCAAGAATTACTATTCATTCCATTCCTGCAGGGAAAGACAGGCCCCTCGAGCTCTGCTATAACCTTGGCATTTAAATCTTGGTGGAAACCTTCATTTACATTTAGCATAACAGGTAGCTCGGATTGCTTTGTTTGTGTTCCGTAATACTTTAGCGTGATATGAATTTAAACAGAAATTATTGTTTTTAATTGATTCTTGAATAAACATAAGGTTCTTAATGATAGTGTCCATCTAATTAGGTTCTTCTTTCGAGAAACTTAAGCTGCATGCATTATTTTTTTGAGAATTTATGCAAAATAGGGTTTGATCTCTCAGGCTTTAAAATCACTGTTCATTTACTGTTTTTGGGTTTTTTTTCTTTAATTTTGTTATTTTACTGTTCCTAGGGTTTTCATTTTATAATTTTTTGTTATTACAGTTTAATTTCACAGCGATTTTATAGTTTATTTTATTTTCTATTTATTTTATGAATATTACTAAAAAATGCTTTGATTATCTAGCTCTATCATTTCCTGAAAATCAAAGTGCGTCTTTAGAAAAAATAAAACACAATTGTTATTTCTCCAAAAAAGGTTTTTCTCATCAGTTGCACAGTAAAGAAGCACATCTTAATTCTCTTATAGATCTGTTTCAAAATTTCTCTGAAATGTTAGAGGTAAATCAACATAAAATTATGAGCTTTTGTAATCTCTTTTCTGAGAGGTTAAAGGAAATCTGTTGATTAAAAATCTTGATAATCAGATTACTTATCTTAAAGCTTCTTAATAAGCTATGTATAATAAATTTTAGTTTCTTAAAACTGAATGATATATCTTCAAAAAGAGATATTAATTGATTAATAAATCTTAGATTGAACAAGAAACTGTTCAATTAAAATATTTATTAAAAATATTAAAAAGCTTAAAAAAAGTTAATGAATGAACTAAAGTATTTTATTTTATTTTCTTTTTAGTTTATTTATTTTATGAACATTACTAAAAAACACTTTGATTATCTAGATCTATAAATTCCTGAAAAATCAAAGTGTGTAATTTCTTTGGTAAAAATAAAACACAATTGCTATTTCTCTAGAGAAGATTTTTTTTCATCAGTTGCACTGTAAAGAAGCACACCTAAATTCTCTTACAGATATATTTCTAAACTTCTTTGAAATACTAGAGTTAAATCAATAGAAAATTCTGAGCTTTTGTAATCTCTTTTATGAGAAGTTAAAGGAGAAAGAATATGCTGATTAAAAATCTTAATGATCAAATTACTTATCCTAAAGCTTCTCAATAAGATATGTATAATAAATTTTAGCTTCTGAAAACTGAACGATATACCTTGAAAAAGAGAGATCAATTGATTAATAAATCTTAGGTTAAACAAAAAATTGTTCAATTAAATTATTTATTAGAAAATATTAAAAAGCTTAAAAAAAGCTAATGAATGAACTAAAGTATAAGAGCACAGAATATAAAAGGATATAATATCTTATTATAGTTGCGTATTCTTCATATTATTTCAAAGAAAAAGATTTTGAAGGATATATTAAGTCAGAATCATCATCTAAAATTGATAAAATTACTATCCAACAAATTAATACCATTTTGGCTTTATTAAGTAGTTTGCATTATCGTTTGGGTTTGCTTGAAATAATCTATAGAAAAATTTTCTAATACTCGAACTTCTAAACTTGAGACTAAGCTAAATAATATTATAAAAAATATTAAAGTTCTATCCCTTGGAAAGACTAAGGAAATTAGAAAGTCCAAAAATACTTTTCGATTTTTGAAATATGACTGAATGACGAACAATTCTATTTTTTGGATATCAAACTATCTTGGATAGACGCTCTGTGTCAAGCCAATCTAATATTTTATCAACCACTTTGTTGGGTAGAATGTTTGATAGACTCAGTACGTCTAGAGATTATTTCAGATTAGAAGAATTAGTCAATATTGATAGAGATCTTTTTACTTTTTCTAATGATTATTTGAATAGCTTGAATCTTTTTTGTTTATACTCACAAGATTATTTCAACAATAATACAAGTTTGTGCAGATAGTACGCAGAAGTTTCTCTTTATTGTCTAGATAATTTTGAAGTTAGACTAAACTTTATTACCCCTAAATTCTCTAGAGAAATTAGAAAAAATACAAGCACTCATACATCCATATCGGACTTGTAGTATTTGCAATCAGAGGTTAGTTAGAAAAAGAATCAGAGGTATGATTTTGATTTGTTTATTTGATTATCAGTTTAGTACTCCTAATGAATTTGTGATTCGAGTCATAGAAATTGACATGAACAATAAGATTAGAATTACTTATATTATTTTTGATATCACCATGACTATTGAAGATTTTGAAAAATATGTGAAAGTCTTAGTGCAGAGTTATGATTATGAAAATTTTCAAGGGAATAATATGTCTTGACATCGTTGTTCTTGTCAAGACTATGAGTAGTATCTATACTAGATTCAAGATTAAGCTTGAGAATATTATAGATTCTTTAATCTTCAAAGGTATCTAGTTTATCATACCAAAAGAAGTTGATTCTAAATCTCTTGTATGATTAGAATGAAATATTTCTCCCTTAAGAGAAAAATTCTACGCTGATCTCTACTGAGTATTCAACCTTTTTGAATACAACAACAACAACATCAAGCCTTTGTCCCATTATGTAGGGTTGGCTACATGAATCCTTCTTCGCCACTGTGTCCTATTAAAAGTTAAATTCTCATTTAAATCTAATAAAGAAATTTCTTTTCTAATATTTTCTAACCAAGTCTTTTTAGGTCTATTTCTACCTTTCTTAACATAAGTCAAATCTAATTCCTCAACTTTCCTAACCGGCTCATCGGAAGGCCTCCGTTTAATGTGACCAAACCATCTAAGGAGACTCTCTAATCTTATCTTCGACTGGAGCTAATCCAACCTTTTCACGTATATGCTCATTTCGTATCCTATCTCTAAGGGTAAAGCCACTCATCCACCTAAGCATCCTCATCTATGCAACATTTAACTTAGTATTATGCTTCTCTTTTAATAGCCAACATTTGGCACCATAAAGCATTGCAAGTCTCACCACCATCTTATAGAATTTTCTCTTAAGTTTGAGGGGGACTTTTCTATCGCACAACAAGCTTGATGCATTCCTCAACTTCAACTAACCAACTTGAATTCTGCTGATAATATCCCCATCTATTTCACCATCACTTTGAACAATAGATCCAAGATATCTAAGACGTGTACTCTTATTATTGACTTGATTGCCCAAAGTCACAATCCCCTCATTAGGTCTATTGCTACTAAAATTACACTCAATTTATTCAGTTTTAGATCTACTCAAGCGAAAACCTTTAGACTTTAAGGTTGGCCTCCATAATTCAAGTTTATCTTTAACTCCCTCTCTGTTTTATCAACAAGAAGAATACCATCAGTAAAGAGCATACACCAAGGTACATCCTCTTGCAAATGTCTAGTGAGAGCATTCATAACTAAAGCAAAAAGAAATGGACTTAAGGTTGATCCTTAATGTAATCCAACCGAAATAGGAACATACTTGGTCAAACCACGTTATGTTGGAACACAAGTAATAGCTCATGCGTACATATCTTTAATGATTTGAATATAAGCGCTATTAACTCCTTTCTTTTCAAGAACTCTCCATAATACTTCTCTTGGAGCTTTATCATATGCTTTCTCTAAATCAATAAATATCATATGTAGATCCTCCTTATTCTCTATATATTTCTCCATCAAACCTCTCAATAAATGTATTACTTACATAGTAGACCTACCCGGCATGAATCCAAATTGATTTTGAGAAACATTAGTATTACGCCGCAACCCACACTCTATAACTCTCTCCCATAGTTTTAAAGTATGACACATTAACTTAATTCCTCTATAATTTGCATACTCTTGTGCATCACCTTTATTCTTAAAAATAGGAATTAACACACGTATTCTCCACTGATCTGACATCTTTTTAGTCTTCGATTCCACCACAAATTATTTTTACTATTAAAAGCTTTTCCTTTCGAAACTCCAAGCATATCTTTTGCAATATTCTTAATATTACTAGTCATTTTTTCTCACATAATAATAGCATCCTCATGCACAGATAAAATCTTAAGATCTAAAATCTTACTCTCAAAAATACTTTTGTTAATATTTTTTAAATGCCCCATCTAATCCTAGAAAATTATTTTACTCTATTTTTTTATTTTATGCCCTTTTATCTTAAAGTCTAAAACTAATAACTGATGTTGGGTACATAAATTTTCACTCAAAATAACTTTACAATCTTTGCAATCTAAACGATCTAATTTTCTTATAAAAAATAATCAATATGTTATAAATGATAAGATGCTCATATCTTTTCTTAAATTATATATTAGTTATTAAGAAATTATAAGCTAAAGAAAAATCTAATATGATCTTATCATATTCATTTGTCATTCCAAACTCATGACCATCATGAAAGCTTTTAAAATCTACCTCTCTCCCAACATGTCCATTTAAATCTACCTCCAATAAAAACTCTTTTTTTAAGATGTATATTTTGTATTAATTCTTCTAAGTCATTCCAAAATTTTAATTTTGAACCCATATCCAAACTTACTTGAGGAGAATAAGCACTTATAATATTAATAATCTTAGCATCAACAACAATCTTTAAAGGTATAATTTTATCTCCTATTATATTAATTTTTATAACATTATCCTTGAAACTCTTATTTATAATAACACACAACATTTCTAGTACGACTCCTACATGAATACCATAGTTTATATCCTAAACTATCAATCTCCTTAGTCTTCTCTCCAACTCATTTAGTTTCCTGAATGCATAGAATGCTTATCTTCCTATGAATTATAATATATATCTGAGAGTTTTAAATTTTTTTTTGAAATGCTAAAAATGATGATCAAATTGAAATTAGGAATTCTGATCTGATTGAAAGGTTCTTGGAAGATTCAAAAGAGAGAATAGTAGATGTTGGACAATGAAGCAAGTTCATCGACTTTCTATCCCCATCTTGTGCAAAGTTATTATCCAAATCGAACTTGTTCCTATGGAATGCACTATAGGACATCCTCCTAGAGCATTTGCGACCATCTATGACAAAGGAAATCACTTACTACAAATGACTAGAAAAAGAACTCCATTGAAAAAAATCTTATTTTTCAAAAAAATTACTGAATATCAACTCCTGCAAGGATGAGCTACTTGAAAGGATTTTAAGTGCAGAAGTATCAAAGTGGGTATTTCAATTGTATTATATTAATTCCCAATTCTTTTTTATAGTAATTTAGTTTCATTTTATTTATTGTAACTATTGTATATTATAGTATTATATTGATGGAATGAATATTATGTTGACGAAGTGATTATTATATAATGAAGTCTATATGAATAGAAATAAAAATGTGAATTATTCGCTTTATAAATAAAATGACCAGTCAAAGTACTATAAAATGTAAAGGATATGAATTATACAATGCAAAGAAAATGAATACTAAATAATAATTTAACTTAAATGGAAGAATTAAAAGATGAAGAAGGTGCATGCATGCAAATTATAGGAGTTTACCCCAATATGGTACTGGCTGGAGAACCAACGTACCTGTGCACGTTAAATTGAAATGAAAAAAAATTAAAATGTTTTTATCTTTATAGGTACATTTAGATGGTGCTCCAGTACTAACAGAAATTGAATAAATGTATAATGGAAATGAACAAATGAAAAATAATGAGAAGTAATTTATGTGTAACAAAGATAAAGAAACATAATAGAATATAGCCGACCCCACGTAGTGGGATAAATGCTTGATGTTGTTGTAAAGATAAAGAAACATGTATGTTTTATTTTGTATACTTAACTATTGTATATGAAATATAATAGAATATATATATATATATATATGCATGTAAATGCAAAAAAAAAAAAAGAAAGCCAAAGGAAAACGTTCATTTTATGTATATAAATTTTTTGTCATAGGCATGATTACCCACTGAGTTTATAATGTAAACTCAACCCATTAAACTAAACTTTCAAGTAAGTCTCATGACAAGTAGAAATGGTTGGAGGAGAAGAAAATGTCTACAGAAGACGACGCATAAATGAAAGCGAGTATTCGAGTCGGGTTGTGACAAACGCACTCTGACTCTATATAATGGACTGCTTCTCATGCCTTGAAGGTCTATAATATTCTCAAGCTTAATCTTGAATCTAGTTTGGATTCAACTCATAGTCTTACCAAGAACAACGATGTCAAGATATATATTATTCCCTTGAAAATTCTCATAACCTTTACTCTCCACCTAGACATTCACATATTTTTTAAAATCTTCAATAGTCATGATGATATCGGGAACAATATATGAAATTTTAATATTGTTGTTCAGGTCAATTTCTATGACTCGAATCATAGATTCATTAGCAATACTAAATCGAGAATCAAATAGACAAATCAAAACCTTATCTCAAGTTCTTCTAACTAAACATATGAATTCCAAATACTACAACTTCGATATGGATGTGTCGGTGTTTATGTTTTTTTTTTTCTAGAGATTTCAGAGGTAATAAGGTTTAGTGTAACTTCAGAATTATCTGAACAATGAAGAGGAACTTCCCTATGATGTTTGAACAAACATATATTATCGTTGAAATAACCTTGTGAGTACAAATAAAAAAGATTCAAGCTATTCAAATGATCATTAGAAAAACATAAAATGATCTCTATCAATATTGATCAATTCTTGTAATTTGAAATTATCTCTAGATGTTTTGGGTCTATCAAATATTTTATCCAACTAAATGGTTGATAAAATATTAGATTGACTTGACAAAGAGTGTCTACCCAAGATAATTTGAGAAGATACAAAAAATGGAATTGTTCGTCTTCATTTATATTTCAAAATTCAAAAAGTATTTTTGGTCTTTATAATTTTCTATGTATTTTCAACGAATTGAGCTTTAACATTTTTGGTAATATTATTTAGCTCAATCTCAAATTTAGAAGCTGGAGTATTATAAAGTTTATTTATAGATTTTTCAAGCAAACTCAAATGATAATGCAAACTACTTAATAAAACTAAAATAATATTATTTTACTGAGTAATAGTATTTCTTTCAGTTTTAGATGTTGATTCTGCTTCAATATAACCTTCAAAACCTTTTTTTTAATAACCTGAAGAATAAGTGATTACAGTTAGATCTTATGTGCTCTTATACTTTAGTTCATTCATTAGCATTTTTGAAGTTTTTCAATGTTTTGCAATAAATCTTTTAATTGAACAATTTCTTATTCAACATGGGATTTATTATTTATTATTTTTCTTTTTAATTGCAATATTAATTTCTGAGATTGTAGCTCAATCTCCTTTGATTTATTATTCTCAATTAAAGCAGATGATCAATTGATATATCTTTTTGAAGGCATATCATTCAATTTAAGAAATTAAAATTTATTATACAAATCTTCTTGCATAGCTTTAAGATAAGTAATCTGATCACTAAAATGTTCAATAAACAAATTATTCTCTTTTAACCTCTAAGAAAAGATATTACAAGAGCTTAGAATTTTCTGTTGATTAAACTCTGAGATTTAATAGAATTTTAGTAATAGATTTGTAAGGGAATTAAGATGAGTTTCTTTACTGATGAGAAAAATATTCTTGGAGAAATATTAATTGTGTTTTATTTTTTTCAAGGAAATTATATACTTTAATTTCTCAGGAATGGATAGATCCATATAATCAAAGCACTTTTCAGAAATATTTATAAAATAATAAGAACAAAGATGAAATAAAATGTAATAAACTATAAAATTGCTGTGAAATTAAACTGCAATAACAAAAATTATAAAATAAAAACCCTAGGAACAGTAAAATAACAAAAATAAAGAAATATAAAAAAACCTAAAAAGAGTAAATGAACTGTGATTTTAAAGTCTTAGAGATCAAACCAATCTGGTACTTCAAAATCAGATTTTAAAATGCAACACCTAAAAATTTACCCAAATCTTTAAAATGAACTACCCAATTCGGTGTATTTATGTATTATACACTAAAGTCATAAAAATTAATAAAATTCCTACGTTTTGGGATGGTAGACTTGGGTGATGATATTGTAAATAGAAATTTTGCGTGTTATTGTCATCTTCATGGAAGATTTGAAATTTGCGTTAAGTACCTAAAAGGAAAGTAGCTATATAAATATAGGCTTTGCAATGAAAAACTTAAAAATCTTTTACATTTTCTTTGTTTCAGCTTGAGAATATGCTTTGTTCATCTGAAATTTGATGACATATTTGGATGGTTTTTCTTGATGCTGCCTTTTGTTTCTCTTTGTAGCTATTAATGATCGCCTAATTGGGATGACGTCTTATGGGTTCGGCATCCGAGTTGAGAATATTAGAGAACCCAGGTATACTACTATGCAGACTTTCTTCATTGCATCTTAACAAAGAAATTTCAGTATTAGAGTACTTTCAAAGGCATGGATTCATTTAGACTGTTCGGATGCTAGGAATTTGAGTGGAATGAAATGAAAAAAAAAAAAGTATAAAAGCTTAAATCGTTGGCTGCAAATTCATAATCAATGCAGAAATTATTGAGATTCTATTTCATTTCCATCAATGAAAACAAAACCTTGCTGAGGGAATTCTACAAACTCTTAGGCTTCGTTTAGGCCGGCTTTCTTACTGCTTCTTAAAGCAGCTTTTCCGTACAAAATTTTTAATTTTTGCATTAAAAAGCTGCCCTAAGAAGCAGTAAGAAAGTCGTCCCAAACGAAGCCTTAATCACGAATTTTATGCGGTTAAAATGTATATGAAGGATAAAGAATGGTTTTCAGAGTTGAAAGAAACAGTTGTTTGCATGACTCATCATCTTCTTGCACCACTTGTAGACTTTTTTTTCTCTGAACTTTCAAACAATACTCACAAAGAATTAATACCTACAGCTAGTCTTCCAGATGTGAACTCAGTTCATCAGCTTAATCACATCATTAGGATAAAACATTTTATATTTTACAGCTATTAATAGTTCCATTGTTCATCAACATTACATTAATTTTTTATTTATGATGAAACTGTAGCTATCAAAGAGCTGATCCAAATTATGTGATGCTTACCCCAAATAAAGAGCATTTAGCCGAAGGCGTTCTTCGGGATTTCGGGAAGCGTCCAATGTTCCAGTCCGAGATCAACTCGGGCAACTATGATCAATTACCAAGAGAGCTGAAGCCAATTGGGAAGATCTTCTAATCCTTAATCATGGAGCTCAGATTCAGGACAAGTCAGGGACTTCGCAGAAGCTCCAGCTGAATTGTAGCTAAGAGTTGCTCTTCTGAAATAGGCATCTAACAGAGTACCACAGACGACCTGATTAGTTTTTTACTTCTTTCATAGAAAATGTAGATCAAATGAGCTATTTTTTATTTTTTTTAATGTCAAATAAGGGGTTCAAGTAGAGGGATTTTGTCATCCTGAAGATGATTATAGCTTATTTTAGCAATAATCATATTGTCTTAATCCTTATTTGATTTTCCCATGTCCCAAAATATATTAGTGTCTTATTGAGTTTTCTGTGATCGATAAAATGTTTGAATTATGTTTTGTTTTTCAACATGTTGTATAAGCTTACTGAAATGTTCGGCATTTTTGTTTTCATAATGTGTGAATGTGTTGTTCTAACAAAATGTTGTTATGAAACCAAAGAAGATCTCATCTAGCAAAATACGCCTATGGGGGAAAGCCCACGGAAGGCCGAAGTGTTTCAGAAAGGCAATAAACAGCAAAAAAATGGCCAAGTTAGCAATGCAACATTGGAAAAGATCAAGGATTCCAACATTGATTTAGTTTAAGTTTCTACTTGATTTGGTTTAATGGTCTTTTTGGGACGGGTGCAATGTTTTGTTAAGTTGGTTGTGAAGTTGTTCTTCAGAAAATAAATTCGTTATTATGTTTGAGAAACAGTATGAAAGCAATAGCGAAATGAAATTGTGATTTTTGTCCAAAAAAACATAGTTTGAAAGTTATCCTAAATAGACCTTTAAGGCTTCGTTTGGGATGACTTTCTTATTGCTTCTTAAAGTAGTTTTGTAGTATTAAAATTTTAATTTTTTGAACTAGAAAGCCGCTTTAAGAAGCAGTAAGCTAGTTGGAAAAAAATCTGTTTTAAGCAGGAAGAAACTCGTTCTGTTTGGGATGATTTTTTTACTGCTTCTTAAAGTAGTTTTTTAGTATAAAATTTATAAATATGGGATTTTGTTTGGTTTTGAGATTTGTTTAAATAATAAAAAAATGAAACTAATTAGCTTAGCAAATAAGTAATAAGTTTAAGACTCGCCAGCATATCTCAATCTCCTATTTATTTTTCAATCTCATCCCATCTATCCATCACTATTCATATATTTCTGTTTGCATTTTAATTTTCATTGTAATGGTGAAATGATTAATGAATATGGGCAATACACTATAACAATAACAACAAGCTGAATTATTACAATAGGAGAACCACACTTAAATCATTAGAGTCAATACAAATACACATATGACACTAGAACTTGTAAAGAAAAGGAAAAATGTAGGTATGATTGCAAGTTAGTTCACCTCTCACAGCTTGTGAGTTCGTTGGACAGCCTTTGGTGGCTATTGTAGACCTGGAGAGGAACTAAATAGTAGCTAACACTCTCATTTGGTTGTTGTAATGAAGGTGGGATACAATTCTTGCGGATGAAAGTCAAGAACAGCAGCTTGGTTGATCTTGAATCAACTATGAACAACAAATATGCAATCTGGAAGAAGGCAGTTTGATGCAGGACTAAATATGATTTAAATGAAAGTGATAAGAACTTGAACATTTTGAATAAGAGCAATTAAAAATTAAGACTGTTAGCAACTAAATGATCATAGAAAACAAGAGAGGGGTAGCTATGCTTAGGCCAAATCACATGCTAAGAACTTGAATCAACAAAGTAATTTAGAATTTCAACAAAATACAAATTAAGTAGTTATTCAATAAAATCCTAAGTTAACACTAAGATTAGCACATAGAAAATCAAGAACTCAAATCCTATGTTTACTAGGTGAAGGCAGAGAGCTTAGCACGAATCCTTGTGATTGAATCATCACCTACAAGTTTAGAGTATTTTGAAGATAAATGAATAGGGGAGGAAGTTCACATCGAGGACCGGAAGTAATTTGCCACTAAACGTTGGCAAGCTGTTCTTCGATTGCTTCGGATAGTGTGAAGATGATGCGATCCAAATATTTTTCGACAGAGTTATCGACTTCCGGATTGATGTCGAAGAATGTTGACGTTTCCTTGCTCGTTGTAAATGAATTCAGAATAAAGATCGGGATTAGCCATTCATTGGTTCCGAAGGATTGCAGTGTTGAAGACGATTGTCGTTGCTTCCCTTGAAGACTCCTTCTGAGAGAAAGAAGTTTCTCTCATGGATGGAGGTGGAAAATAAGGAGGGAAGTGGTCGGCCTAATGAAGGAGGTTTAGGACTAGTAAGTTCACATTTTTTGTGGCATTAGAGTTGAATTTGAGAGAGGATTTTGGAGGGAAAAGGCTGGAATTAATTTCCAAATCAAAGTCTCTTGAGTTGGAAAGAAATTTAAAGGAGGTATGAAGCATGGAGGGGCGGGTGGAGTAGATAGGCTTGGGATTTAATTCCAAAAGAAAAAGAGGTGATTTTGGAAAGAGGTAAAGGAGGTGGGGCCTTGGGAATTTCAGCCAAGAGAGTGGGAGGGGTGGTTTGAATTATTTCCAAGAGAGTAGCTTGAATTTTGGAAATAATTCCAAAGGGGAATTAGATGGGGCCGACAGCATATGGAGAGAGAGGAGGGGTTTTGGTGATGGTGGGATGAAGCTGACGGGTGTGGAGGGGAAATGACTTAGGGATTTGGCAGTTGGGCTTGGTGAACCGTGGATAAGAGGAAGATTAAAAAAAAAATTACAAAGATAAACTAGCCATGAACCTAGACTCTTCCAAGTTTATGGGTGATCCGATTCCCTCTCAAGCTCTCACAAGAACTCAAAGCACATAAAATTTTATCATTCATTAATTCATTAAAACTTTAAAAGAGAACATAAGGGCTATATATAGCCTCATACAATGGATAAAAAATAAAAGACGATATCGCCCTTTGGGCTTACACATGACCACCATTATTGGGTAAAAAGGGGAAAATAGCTAAAGCAAATATAAATACAAATAAATAAAAAATAAATACATATGATGACTTAAAAATATATTGGCGCGGTCATGGTCATATATCAACTGCCACGTCTCTGATAAACTTTCCAAGCTTCATGTCCCCATCACAGCCAACACTTGGATTGTCTTGGACTGGATGGACAGTCATTCTTACGGATAATGATGAAGGCTGTGGCAATACCAAATGATATTGGAATATAGAGGCAAAGAGAAAGATAGCTGGGAGAAAACTAAAATCAAGAATTAAAAAAAAAAAAGAGAAAAATATATAAAGAATACAATGCCATCACTTGGAAGGAGTTTCCTGAATACAAATAATAAACACACCACAACCACCACATGAAAGAATTTTCAGTATACAAAAAATTGGCCTTTGGCTAAAAAGAAAAGTTAGGGGTTTCAGATGAGAGGGGCGGTGGCTAGGGGGTGGGGGGAGGAATTGATTGGGGTGGTGGTGGTGGTGGGATGAAGCTGAAGTGTATGGAGGGGGAAATACTTAGGGATATGGCGGTTGGGCTTGGTGAACCGTGGATCAGAGAAAGAGTAAAGGAGGAAGATTATGAAAAAAAATATAAATATAACTAGCCACGAACATTGACTCTTCTAGGTTTATGGGTGATCTGATTTCCTCTCCAAGGGATCTCTCTCAAGCTCTCACAAGAACTCAAAGCATGAAAATTTTTATCATTCATTGATTCCTTAAAACTTCAAAAGAGAACATAAGGGTTATATATAGCCTCATACAATGAACGAAAAATATAAGATGGCATCACCCTTTGGGCTTTCACATGACCACCATTAAGTATGGGATAAAAAGGGGAAAATGACTAAAGCAAATACAAATACAAATAAATAAAAATAAATACATATGACGACTTAAAAATATATCAACGCAATCGTGGCCATAGATCAGCGGTCACGTCTCTGATAAACTTTCCAAGCTCTGATGTCCCCATTATAGTCAGCACTTGGATTGTCTTGGACTACATGGACAATCATTCTTCCAGATCATAATGAAGGTAGTGGCAATACCAAATGATATTGGAATATAGAGGCAAAGAGAAATATAGCTGGGAGAAAATTAAAATCAAGAATTAAAAAAAAAAAAAAAACTCTATCAATAATACATTGCCACCACTTGGAAGGAGTTTCCTGGATACAAAAAATCAACACACCATGACCACCACATAAAAGAGTTTTCAGTATACAAAAAATTGGCCATTGGATGAAAAGAAAAGCTCACTCTCTAATTCTTCTCTACCCCCAAATGAGGCTAACATCTCCTATTCATAGACTACTACTCAAAACAAGAATATTGAAAATCAGAACTTAACCTAGTGGGCGGTCCAATAGCAGGTTTAGCCTTGGCTAAACCAAACCAAGAAAATATAGCAGGGGAGGCTACTAGTTCAGCCTTTGGCTAAAGCTTTATTTGAAATGGATTTATTACTAATTCTTAAAGCAGCTTTCTAGTACAAAAAACGTAATTTTTTTTTTGTAGTAAAAAGTTATTTTAAGAAACTGTAAGAAAGTCATCCCAAATGATGCCTATATCAAAATTTTAGCAGAATTTAGAGTAAGACTCAATTTAGTTAAAGCTTGTGTCATTTTCTATGATTAGGAAATGATTCAGGATAATCTGAAGTTAACTATTGGGTAAGATCTTGGATAGTTGTTTGTGATTTGTGTGGACTATGGCACCATATCATGATTTGGTTCTATAGGTTTTTTCTGTTCTTTAAAAGGTAGGAGCACCACTAATTGTCCTTCTTTGTGGTAGGAATAGGTGCTCTTGAACTCATCATGCTTAATATGGTGGTCATATTGCCAAGGGCATCCAAGAAGGTGACATGTGTCCTTGGGAACAATATTATATAGAACTTGTTGATGCGAAGTGGTAGGAAGGTTCAACTACTTCACAATACAAATACTACATTTTCATAACTCTTGCTTTTTATCACCAAATTTCATACCTTACCATCTATGATGTTCAAAAAAATATTGTGACATAGATATTCATTTTCCTTTTCATTTTGGATATTTAAAAGATGTTGACCCACCAATAATTCTCTTTTATATGTGTGTAAGAGTTGTTCTTCTATTACCTTGCCAACTTTTTACTTTATTGGAATGATGATTTCTCTTAGTGCCCCTTTGATAATGGTCATTATGCATTGCATTGGGTAATTGGTTGCAATATGTTCAAAACTATGGCATTTAAAATACTTATGTGTGGGAAGGGAGGCTATAGTCGCAGTTAGAGAGGGGCTAAAAGTCTGGACAATAGGTATTCCTATATTTTTTAGTTTTTGGTCACCCACAAGAGCAAGTGTCAGAGGTTATACCAAGCATATTCTCCTGCTAAAATTGATTAGCCTATTCTTTGATTTTTTACCTTAAGGGTAAGGTTGATGAAATCATTTATTATTC